GGTACAATATCAACATAAAAAAATACTGGGAGGAAAATGCCAGCCGAATATTCAGTCACCAGAGAAAATGCCTTTCAAAACTGAATAAAAATAAACCACAGATAAAAGATTATAGAATTTGAGGCCACCAGACCTGCACTATACAAAAATGTAACAGAAAGTTCTTCAAACTAAAGCAAAATGATAATAGATGAAAACTTGGATCTAACCAAAGGTATAAAGACTGCTGTAAATGATAAATCTGTGGTAAAAATTTAAACACTTTTTCTCATTTTTTAAATAATAGAACATTTGAGGCAAAATTAACAGCAATGTATTATCAGATTTATAACATATTTATAAGTATTATGTACGAAAGCAATAGCACGAATGACAAGAACAGGGAAAAGGAAGCATACTGTGACCTTACATTATATGTTAAGTGACATAACATCACTTGAAAGTAAAATGTGATTAAACAGTAATAATTTCAACATTATGATAAAATCTGTAAAAAATGATATAGTTAAGAAACCAATAGAGTACTAAAAAATGCTCAAAGATTAAAATAGAAACAATGAAAACACAGGGCAAATAACAAGCTGGTAGACTTAAATTGAACCATATCAATAATTACATTAAATTGAAATAATTTAGACAGTCCAAATAAAAGAAAGATGATCAGACTGGAGGAAAGTAAGACACAACCATATGCGGTCCACACAAACATATGTGCATTAAATGTAAACACAGAAACATATTAAAAGGGTAAAAAATGATACACCACGCAACCCCTAAGAAAAGTAAGCTGTAGTATCTGTGTTAATATCAGACAAAGTAAGACTATAGGACAAAGCATATATTCAGAGAGAAACAATAAACATTTCATGATGATAAAATACAAAAGAAATCATGTAATATCAAAATTAGTGGGATACAACTGAAACAGTACTTAGAAAAGAATTTAGATCCTTGATGCTTTCATGGTGCATTATTAGAATAGAAAAGGAAACCTGAAAGCAGACAGTTTAAGATTCAATCTCAAGAATCTACAAAAATAACAGCAAATCATAACCAGAAAAGAATGAAAACTAAGAACAGAAATCAATGAAACAGAAAGCAAATACACAATAACGAATATCAACAGAGTCAATGGTCATACTTTTTAAAAGAATAATAAAACTGATAATCCTCTAGCAAAACCAATCAAGAAAGAATGAGAGGGGCCGGCCTCGTGATGCAAGCAGTAAAGTGCCCACACTCCGCTGCAGCAGCCCGGGGTTCGCCGGTTCAGATCCCAGGCGCGCATTGATGCACTGCTTGGCAAGCCATGCTGTGGTGGCATTCCATATAAAGTGGAGGAAGATGGGCATGGGTTTTAGCCCAGGGCCAGTTTTCCTCAGCAAAAAGAGGAGGATGGGCAGATGTTAGGCTAGGGCCAGTCTTCCTCAGCAAAAAAAAAGAGGAGGATTGGCAGATGTTAGCACAAGGCTGATCTCCTCACAAAAAAAAAATAAGAAAGAAAGAATGAGAGAATACTCAAATTAATAATATTAGGAATGAAAAGAAGGATACCATTATAGATCCTACCGACATTTAAAAGATAATGAGATATGAACAAATTCTACCCTAATTTGAAAAAATTATGTAAAATGGGCTGAGTCCTTGAAAACTAATTACTAATTACTTGACAAACAAAACTTACCAAAAACTAATACAAAAGAAATGGAAAATCTGAGTACTCCTTGTGAAAGAAATAGAATACATAAATTATAAAAACTTCCCAAAAGAAAATTTCAAGCTTGTCAAATGCCACTTCTGCAGAGCTCAGCAACTACTCCTACATCAAGAGATAGGAACAGAGGGAGGGAAGAAATGAGAACAGGAAGGAAGTCTAAAACAGAAGCTGTAGTGAAGATATGAATTAACATGCATCGTCAATCTCCAACCTCCCCTCCTGCAATTAGTTGCATCTTCATCCCCTTACCATTTCGTACTTCAGTACTGTAGTCCTTCTCAATTTGTGAAGCCCCTCCCAAATCTTTCTCCTGAACCCTCTGAAGTGCCCTCTTTATTTCAAACAAGTCCCTCTGTAGTCTTCACAGATCATTGTTTCTACCTCTGGATTTCTCCTAAACACAATACTTCACTCCCAACAGTCTACTAAAGAAGCTGAAATTTCTCTTCCATACCCCTTTCCTAAAATTGAGAAGACACCCAAGAGTTCAATTTAAATTTGAAAAATTGAAAAGGCATGTTTTCCTATTCTTTCTTCTTTCTTTTACCATTTATTTATTATTTTTTTATTGAGGCAACATTGGTTTATAACATTATGTATATTTCAGGTGTACATTATTATATTTCCATTTCTGTGTAGACTACATATGTTTACCACCCAAAGGCTAATTACCATCCATCACTGTACCCATGTGCCCTGTCACCCCTTTTGTTCTCCTTCCTCCCCCCTTCCCCTCTGGTAACCCACAATCTAATCTCCATATGTATGTATTTGTTTGTTGCTGTTGTTGTTGTTTTAATCTTCTACTCATGAGTCAGATCATATGGTATTTGGCCTTCTCCATCTGACTTATTTCACTTAGCATAATACTGTCAAGGTCCATCCATATTGTCACAAATGGCAAGATTTCATGTTTTTTATAGCTGAGTAGTATTCCATTATGTATATATACCACATCTTCTTTATCCATTCGTCCCATGATGGGCACTTAGGTTGTTTCCAAGTCTTTGTTATTGCGAATAATGCTGCAATGAACATAGGGGTGCATATATCTTTACACATTTGTGTTTTCATGTTCTTTGGATAAATACCCAGCATTGGAATTGCTGGATCATATGGTAGTTCTATACTTAATTTTTGGAGGAATCTCCATACTGTTTTCCATAGTGGCTGCACCAGTTTACATTCCCACCAGCAGTATATTAGAGTTCCATTTTCTCCACATCCTCTCCAACACTTGTTATTTCTTGTCTTATTAATTATGGCCATGATGATGGGCGTGAGGTAATATTTCATTGTAGTTTTGATTTGCAATGTTTTCCTATTCTTATCTATGTGTATGGTACATCACCACTACTTTGAGTTACCCTCACATCACTAAAATATGTTCCTGAAAATATAAAAAAGACAGACCAGAGGGAGGAAATTGGTGACAAAGAGATTAGTAGAAGAAAACTGGAACAGTTCATAAAATATGAGAGCTTAAATTAGAGCAATAGTAGTCAGGGAGAAAAACCAAAATCAATGTTTCGATGCCAGGGCACTCTCAAACTCTTATTCTTAAAAGCATCTTAACTGAAACTAATAGCAAGGGCATCAATTTTCTTAAGATGATAACATTGGAAGTTCCAATATCATACACTCCAACTTTACTCAAATACTCATTTATCAAAATAAGGCAGGGCCTCCTGCAGCATTTCCACAAGCTTATCTGCAATTGATATCATGATCAGGACATTGTGACAACAAGGAATGTTACTGGAAATGCCAGAAAACAGGTTTCTTAAAACAAAAATTCCTAACTGAAACTCAAATGCCACTTGAAAATAATTATTTTAATAATAATAACAATAAAGAGGATGGAAGAAAATTTTTGAGGTGATGGATAGGTTTATGGCATAGATTGTTGTAAAAATTTCATGGATGTATACTTATCTCCAAACTCATCAAGTTGTATACATTAAATATGTGCAGCCTTTTACTGTATGTCAATCATACCTCAATAAAGTAGCTTAAAAATGAAAATTTTTTTAGGGGCCTCAACTAGTACAATCAAAGATCTGCTGCAGGTAAGATTGAAAAAGATGACTTTTCCAGTGACTTTCCCCAAGATCAGTGATCTTCTTTCTTCATGAAAGAGGTGATTGGCTATGCGATCAGACTGTCAAGCTGCTAAGGACCTACTGCAGATGTTTGATGGTCTCCACCTGTCCCACCATCCCATCTAAGACCCAACCACCTACCTTAGGGAATTCACTGTGGTATTTATAACATCTTCCTCAAGTCAAGCTGTTCTGATGGCATCAGTGTCTTGAACATTTCATCAATGATTGTGATAACAACTGGAAACATCTCTGGCAAATACTGAGACCACCCATTCACACTCTAGTTTCATTGCTGTCTTTACTGCCTCACCTTGGCACAGGTCAAACACACTTAGACAGAATTGAGAACTTCTTATATGCCACCTCGGGTTCTCTTGGCCTCACTGAACTTGGTATTTGTTTACTCCAGCTATTGTACTGTAAATTTTAAAACTTCATATTTTCCTGTTCTCTCAACATCCCCAGAAACAGGCTATGAGCACCCTACCCAGGTGACCAGGTGCACCAATGTAGTAAGGTTGACATCTACCACAAGTCCCCCTTCTTGCCTTCCCCTGCTGTGACCTTGTGACATTTAAACTCACCAATGAAATCCCCTCAGGCCTTTTGCTTGTGTACTCCACCCTGACCCCCAATATAGTCATTTGGCCACAGGTCTTCACTCTCTCTCTTGACTCCCCACTTGCTTGGGTGAGCCTGGTCCCTTGGTGCTTCCACTATGTGGCCCCCTTGTGGCATTAATTGACTCTGTCTTCCTAGGATCTCTGAGTATAATAAACTTTGAGTTTCTGTGTCTTTTCAAAGACTCCTCTTGTGACTGCACCTGAATGACCATTTCGTCAAAGAATACAAAATCGTTACCATGATGACACTTATTTCACACAGGTACAACCCAGCAGTTGTATCTGTAAGAAACTTTTTACTCCACCTCCCTACCTCTTATGATACACACCAGAGATCTGAATACCCAGTGATAAGAAGGTCTGGAGCCTTTAATGTCTAGGGCCAAGCAAGTCCTTGCGCTCTCTTGAACATCTAATGCTCTAGGAATCACTGTGTGACTGGTCCTCATTCGCGTATACTCTAAAGGCTGTGATCCTGTATTCTCATGGTTATTCTGAGAATGAGACCAGGGCAATTCCTGCTGAGAATCCCCTGCCAGACCAGACGGGTCTTACCTGAGCAAACTACTCCAGCATCCCACTTATGGTAATAGCCATAATTACGATAGTTTTTAAAATAAGAATGGCGACAGTCATTGAGAGTTGATTCTGTCCCCTTGCAAAAAAGATATGCAAGCCAAATGGGCCCAACCCCTGATCCAAAATGAGCCCCTCTGGGAGCACCAACAGCATCTCCACAATCCAACTGTCTGCACAGCACAGCTGCATTCTCCAAGGTCCACTTGTAACCATGCACTGTTCCCCATATTCCTTGGTGCTTCACTTCCACTCTCCCCTCACAGTGGTGGCCTCCATTCTTCAGCCTCAGCTCCACAGCTGCAAGAGAGACACAGACACAGAACACAGGACACAGGAGAGATTTTAGGAGACTACCAAGCTCTCTGGGGGAAAAAAATCTCTGATGTATAGCATTTGTTGATTTCTGTGGTGTAAATATTCCCACTATGGCCAATTTTAAGCTACCAATGTGGCATCATTGAACATGGAGTTGGATAGAGATGCACACGATTATTTCTCACAAGCCAGGAAGACCCAGCTCAAGGCAAGCCACTGACAACACACCTTCAGAGGACTCTGGATGCTGTCTTCCCAGTAGATATGCCTAAGGCTTGTAGGGACCCAGTTTGTCCATCTCAGTTACAGTTTATGGCCATGAGGCCAGTGGAGGAATCTTCATTCACCTTCTCAGTCCCATAGGGAACACTCCCATCTAGTTCTGCAACAGAAGACTGTGGTAAGCAGCTTCTAAAATTTCCTGATTATTCCTGCCTCCTGGTATTCATGCTCTTATGTAACTCTCCCCCAACTCTGGCACTTGAATGTGGGCTGAGCCTACTAATGTATATCTAACAAATGGAATTGGGCAAAAGCAGTGAGATGTCACTTAAGAGATTAGGTTTCAAGAAGACTCTGGTTTCCCTCTTGTTGCTTGCTCCGATGAAGCCAGGCACTGTATTGTGAGCTGCATATGGAGAGACCTGCAAGACAAGGAACTAGAGGAGAACTCTAGCCAACAGTCAGCAAGGGACTAAGGCTCTCAGTTAAACAGTCCACCAAGGCCTAAATGCTCAAAATATCTAGGTAAGTAAATTTGGGTGGTATTCATCCCCGGTATAACCTTAAGATGATTGCAGCGTTGTGAAAGATCATGAGGCAGAGCACCCAAATAAGCCATGTCCAGATTCCAGGCCCACAGAAACTATGAGATACTAGACGTTTGTTGTTTTAAGTTGGCAAGTTTGGCAGTAATTTGTTGTACAGCAATATATGACTAATTTAGGAGTTCCTTCCAGAGTCAGAAAACAGCAGGGTAGACCAGCTGAAGATTAATATGAGTAGTTTAATTGCTTTATCCAAATAAGACTGCTTCCTCGGTGACCAATTCTGGACCTTGGTCCTACTTGGAACTGGGACACAAACCACCTCTCTTGTCACATCACTTTCTCATCCAGTAGCCTAGGTTCCTGCCCTCCTGTCAGTAATACAGAAATGAGTTTCCTGAGGCAATAGAATCATCTCTATTAGCTTTGAATTGGGGTCAGCAAAATGAGAATATTTTCTTATAATCTAAGCAAGACTTGATCCCTGGGGCACCCATTCACACTGCTCAGGTCTATGCCTGGCTCCCTATGCTTCCACTCTGGAAAATAGAAGTGGTGCATTGAAGAGGGAAACATCTGGGAAGATGCTGAACTTGAAAAGAATCGTGGCGTATTACTCTGCTCAGGTGGGCTGCCATAAGAAAATACCATAGACTAGGTGGCTTAAACAACAGAAATTTATTTATTTTCTCACAGTTCTGGAGTCTAGGAAGTCCAAGATCAAGGTCCTGGCAAGGCAGTTTTCACTCTGAGACCTCTTCTCATGGCTTATAAGCCACCACCATCTCATTGTGGGCTCACATGGCCTTTCGTCAGTGTGTGTGCATGGGGAGAGAGGGAGAGAGCTCCCTCTCTCTCTTCCTCTTCTTATAAGGCCACCAATTCTATTCGATTAGGGCCCCACCCTTATGACCTCATTTAACCTTAATTACCTCCTAAAGACTGTATCTCCAGTGACAGTCACATTGGGGACTAGGGCTTCACCATATGATTTTGGAGAGGCACAATTTAGTCCATAGCACCTCGGGCAGTCCATTCTAGGAAGGAAACACAGATCAATGGGAAAGAGATAGAAGAGACAGTGGAAGCAAGGAGACAGCCTGTGAAGCTTACTCAGAGTTTTTTCAAAAGTCTGACATTGGGGTGGGAGTAAAGAATTGAAATGGGATGCTAAAACTACACAAGAAGCTACTTTTGTTAATACTAAAAGTACCTAATGAGAGGCAGGTCCTGAGATAAGTGCTATAATTGTAGAAAATAATAAGACAATGTTCTTGCCTTCAGGTAGCTTATATATAGTTGGTGACACAGACAAACAAGCAGATGATTTCATAACTGTGAAAACTTCCAGGATACTTGCTCAGTAACAGTAGGCTTGGTTATTGAGGCTATCTTTTCTGCTGAAAATAAATAAAAAGTAGAACAAAATATACTAAAATTTATCTTAAAAGTATTAAAGTCCTGATGAGATAGGAAGGAAAAGTCAGGCCAAATCAGAAGAGAAAAATAGAAATTCATTGAGCTACAGGAGCATGGAAGGCGAAGGCATTAGCCTATCCAAGAAAATGTGGTTTTTTATGGCCTTTGATGGTGAGGAGGCATAAATCAAGTCTCAAACTCACACCCAGATAAGATATATAACAGAAGACATTCTCCACAATAAGCCAAACACCAGTCAAAATAGACATGACCTTGTATAGAATTAGATTTGGAGTTTGAATCTCTGGATTGCCCAGGAAATATCAATTTTTGCACTTGTATTAAGGTGGTCCACAACTGATAATACCATAAAATTGTGGAAAAATAAAAATAAAACACTCTCTAGAGGAAATTACCTTCATCTTAGGCCTCAAATTAATTCTATGAATAGTTTTTATAAATAAAGTAACCCATACATTGTCAAAAATAAACAGACACACAAAGAAACAAAGGTCCATTAACAAGAACCAAGAGAAACTCTGAAACAGACACAGAGACCTCTGTATTCAATACATTGAATACTAGGCTATATAACTACCATGGATACTATATATTTAAAGAACTAAAAACACAGCTTTGAAGAATTTTCAAGAAACTAAAAAATGCATAGAAACTTTTTTTAGAAATGCAGTGATAACTTCTATGAATGAAAAATATATTTATTGAAATTAAAATTTTTGTATCATATTAAACCCAGGTAAAGAGAGAATTAGTGAAGGGAATAAGTCAGGAGAAATTATCTGGAATGCTGCACAGAAAAACAAAAGGATGAAAAATACAGAAGAGAAGATCAGACACATAAAATGGAGCAAGGGTGTTTAACATACATTAAATTGAATTATGGGGAGGAAGAGAGGAAGACAGAGACAAAGAGACACAGAAAGAAAGAGAGAGAATTGAGCAGAGGCAATATTTGAAAAAGATTGGCTGAGAATTTTCCAGAACTGATGAAAGACATCCTTCCTTAGAGTAAAAAAGCCCAATAAAACTCAGGTAAGACATATAAAAAGGAATTAATTTTTAGTCACATCATAGAGGTGGTAAGCATTACCAGTGTTCAGTGATATTTAAAGTTCTCTTGGGGATCTGGGGAAGATGGTGGTCTAGGAGGATTCCGAACTCACCTCTTCACATAGACACAGCAAATCTACAACTACTCGTGGAAGAATTTCCTCTGAAAGACATCTGGAAGCTCTATAAAAAGAACCCCCACCACAAGGGACAACACTGACAGGGGTGGAAGAGTCAGAAGTATACTTCTTCTGAGGAAAAAACCACATCCCAGCCACAGCACTTCATGGCCAGGAGCAATCTTAAATGTATGAAGCTTTTCCCAGAGGAGTGGGGGGATCTAAGTGGGGGATCTATGCCACGATAGGCATCCCAGGCTCTAGCTTCAGCACAACCGAGGTGAGATCCCATAATACCCGGCTTTGCTGACTTTTAAAACCAACATGGAATACCTCCAGAAACACTATCAAACTTCAGAGAAAGAAAAAACCTGCTTTTAAAGAGCCCATGCATAGATTCACCCGTTCAGGAAACCAACAAAGAAGCACACAAAAAAAGGCATAGTCCATTGATAAAAGAGACTTAGGTACTAAGCTCTGAGAGCATCTCAGAGAGGCAGGAAGTGGCTGTGCCCACCCCCCACCCAGGGACTGAGACACTGGCCACAGCCATCATTGTGACCCAGTTCAGTCATGCTGACACAGACGCTGGCAGACACTATTGGATTCCTCCCTTTAGCCTGTTAGTGCAGGGTTTGCCCCTCCACCAGAACACTGATTCAATTGAGTGGGCCAGGGCAGACAGCCCACCCTAGAGACTGGCCCCACCCATCAGCAAGCCCACAGTGATCTTGTGGCACCTCTGCAGTGGGGTGAGTGGGTCTGCCTCAGCAGGGCATGTGTGTGGGGTGCACTTGAGTTGGCAAGGTGTGTGGGCCATCAAGCAGTGGGGCGTGTCAACCACAGCAGATTTGTGCTGCTGTCCATCATGAACAGCCACACAGGGGATCTGTCCTGCATTCTAACACCTGAAATTATTGTATGTTGCTGCACCTGGGACCGGCCCCAACCACCTGCACTCCTAAGAGAGCCAGAAAAAACTGCATGCTATAGAGAGCCACACCAGAGGCCTGCAGCAATTGTGAGTCCCTGAGCCTAGTAACCAACCACACTGGGGGACTGACTCACTTAACAGCAAAACAGCAGTAGTTGTGCGCTATTAGACCTTGCAGCCAGCAATGCCAGGGCTTGCCCCGCCCAATAAAGTGACCACAGCAACCACACACGGCTGAGCCAGACAACCAGCCAACCTGAGGGCCAGCCTAGGCTACCTGCATGCCTACAGCAAGAGCAACCCCAGCACAACAGAAGGGCAAATGCAGCCCACACAGGAGACACTCTTGGAACATTTGGAATGGGTGACAAAAGGGAAGCACATTGTTGGGCCCTACAAGGCATCTCTTACATAAGGCCACATTTCCAAGATTGGAAGATACAGCTGATTTATTTAATACATAGATATAAGCATTGAGATGTAGGCAAAATGAGGAGACAAAGGAATATGTTCCAACAAGAGAACAGGACAAATCTTCAGAAAAAGAACTAAACAAAAGAGATAAACAATCTACCTGGTAAAGAGTACAAACTAATAGTCATAAGGATGCTTACTGATCTTGGGAGAAGAATAGATGAACATAGTGAGAACTTCAACAAAGTGGAAATATAA